CTATAAGGTTATTTACAAATATAGATAGCAAAACTGCAACCTGCATTTCACAAGCAACTTATGAGCAGGTAAAGTTTGTAATGGTGCAGTAGGGTGGAGGCTTGGTGGTGAGCTGTGAAGCATAAGCGAGGAATCGCATACGTCAAATCGAGCCCGTGAACCTTACCTGAACCACCACGACTCGATTCGACGTATGCGATTCCTCGCTTATGCTTCACAGCTCACCACCAAGCCTCCACCCTACTGCACCATTACAAACTTTACCTGCTCATAAGTTGCTTGTGAAATGCAGGTTGCAGTTTTGCTATCTATATTTGTAAATAACCTTATAGACTCTATCCATCTACCCCACCATGATCTGTGCTTCGAGCCCTTACAACAAAGGGCTAGACGCGCAGTTAGAGATATCCTGCTCCTCTTTGTCCGATGCTTCTACTGGAACTCCTCAAATATTGAGCCTGTGACAGCTAACAGTACACCCTTAGTAGGAGTGATTCATCTAAACCTAATCTTTTAGGCCCTTTCAGTGTTAGAGTTCGTGCGCCCAGTCTAGGCTAACACATCCGATGAAACCCCTCGTATTGAGGGCAAGCACTTTTGTATGTCTTTGGCCGTAGGCAGCGAGCGAATTCTACTCAAATCTCGGGCCACTCTCCGTGATTTTTAGCCTATCCCTTTTTTGACCTGCTTGTGTTTTCTGAGTAACATCCGTGGCACTGGTTGACCCATTTGTGTGACGCCCTTGAGCCAGAATCTTGGCGCAGTCATTCAGGCAATTCACGCCGCACGCCGATGGTAATACTGTGTTGCTTTTGTTCCAACATGGAAGCCATCCCGTTGCTCCGTAAATGCGTTGCAGAAGCGGCTTAAATATATCTCAACCCTGGTTAGGCCACTTTCTGGAATGACAGGTCAATGAAATCAATGTCAATGAATTCATCTTATCGTCCCGATGAGCCGGAGCTGCTGTAGTGATAGGCACGCTACCACGGGCGCGGTCCGGGATTTGAAACCCAGATCAGTGCCCCCCAGACCAACGAGCTCTCTATCCTTGGGAAGGTAAGCTGGTGCCAGATTTGTCCAGAATGAAAAGAACACTGGCTTGTTCATCGGCTGCTTCCCCCCCCCCCTGATCGTCGGCGGAAGAACTTACCGTTCTAGTGGTGAGAAGCGGAACCTGTACTAATAGAGTAATCAACGGTACATGATGCGATTGCAGTTCGTATGTAATGGAGGAAAAATATGAATTTTCAGGTGTTTTCTAGCTTGCCACGCAAGAAATTGGCTCCGAAAACGCTCTCAATCATGCACTATTGGAGGATGATTCTTAGCGTTGAGTTGCATGCGAAGGAATGGGGGATGAAGAGATGTGAGCATAGGCCAGAGACCCGAGACAAATATTGAGAAAAAAAAGAATGACGAAAGTATAGACAATAAATTGGTGAGATTACCCGAAGCGAGCAACGTTTGACCTGTGATTGGTGCCCTCAAATAGCGAGTTGCTATGGAGTGACCCGACCTCAATATCCTTATCAATCACTTTTGAGCCGCAAAGTGGTATAACCTTGGTTGGGCATCCTTCATACGGGAGGGATTCTACCTATAATAGCGGAAAGAGTCGTTACGTGAGGTAGTGCAAGGTCAGTTTGGAAGCACTTCTTAGATAGCTGTACTGGACAACGGTCATAAATCATTCAGCAAAGGTATGGCTTATACAGGCCTTGCATTAAGGCATAAGGCACGATAATTTGGACTCGGTCTTGAATGGTAGCAGGGGGTGCTCTATTTTGGGAAAATGGTGAAATAGCGAGGTTGAACGGTCAAAAACCTGCAAAAAGCCTTTTTTTTCTACACGACTCAGGAAGCATTTTGGACGAGTTTCCCGCTGGCATCGTGCCAATAACCGCTACGGTAGATAGGGCTGCATGTACCCATATATCCATGCAGATCGAAGTTGGAAGGAGCGCAAAGAAGCAAAGAAACTGTAAATTGTTTGCTGGACAGTCGGAAATATTGGTATTCAACAGCAAAGTGTAACAAAAAAACCCTGCCAGACATACTGCGCACCAAAACAACACCTATTCTTGTCAACGAAGAAGTTATCCGTGGGACCAACAAAGCGAATTGTTGTGAGAATTTGCAGGCAACTGCTTTCAGCTATTGGCGACAATATTTTTTGCCACGCTCCAGATATCCCGGAAATGGACAACGAAATACTTGTAAACATTCTGCTGGTACATAACTAAAACCCTGTTGTTGGAGCGTCAGGGAGTTTCCACTGTTGCTAGGCGAAGAGAACGTCTAGAAAGTTCGTGGGAAGTTCTGCTGTATGATTAGGGATCAAATAAAAAGCGGAAAGTTCAAAAATTGTCTAGCAACTACATGGTTGATTTCATCTGATTTCGGCGCTGATCGGATGGGGAGGGGCATTTCACTTTCGCTTACTCCTTTGGTGAGTACAACTAAACTAAAAGGGGCCACACTTATGAGTTCTGCGCCCTTGCGAAGCTACAAAATGGGACGATTGAGTCACTCTGTTTATAAGAGCTTACAGATGTTACAAAGAGGGCCTGTGTAAGCTGCTGAATCCCTGAGTAGCCTTTAGTGCTTGAAGCCGAATTGCGCCCAGATTACTTCACCAATCGATAATTTTCAGGTAATTGAAGTGGAACCAATCGACTGCAATCCAGGAATGTTATCTCATCCAATGGCACTGCTTAGATGGTTTCAGCTCGTGAGTTTCCGTAGCACATTAATAAAGGACACCACAATCGTCAGTTGCAACTGATTACACTTCATGTCCCGCAGACGGAGAGGGCGTTCCACCTACTTCAATAACCCTATTACGTACTTCCATTTACATAGGAGGCAGCACGTCGTACTTTGGAAACATGGACGCGGTTCACGTTTGCCGCTAGAGAGAGTAATGTCGATTGAGTTTGAGAAAAGCGTTTTCTTGAAAGCTTGATCTTTTGCTTTTTCACGGACGGTAACTACCGATGTTCGGGAGGAATACTAGGGATGTGGGGGGTGACTTGCCTTATGAAAAAATTCGGCCCTGATTAAAAATGTTTTCGGCGTGTCCGGTTAGTGACTTTTGTCGGTATTTACCCGTTGCGGCATGGCTCTAATGTCTTCCCCGCACCCCCTTCCGCCACACACACAACTTGAGAATCCACTGGTGAGTTCCTACCCCCACCGCACACCACCCCCCCCCCCCTCAACGCCGACAGTGAAACTTTTAAAAAAAAGGGATCTTGTGGGAAAGCTGACATGTGAGGTGGAGAAAAGATAGGAAAAGTTGGGTTGCTGGGTAGGATGGGAAAGGTTGGGGATTCATTAGAGAGCGAAACCTGGAGGTCGTACTTTCTGGAAATTTTCCCAGCGGTGTCTTTGTGGGAAGGCTGCTCGAGAGGTAGTTCCATTCAAGCAAGTTCCATTCAAGCAAACTGACATCTTTTCTTACTGCACATATACATGACTAAAGTCGTACATAAAGCTGCGATATCCCGTCCAAAGCGCAGCCTCACTGAGACACTCAGCCACGCCTTCCCTTTCCCCGGGATAGCATTAGACGTCTAAAAAAGTTCGTGCTGTCAGATCGCTATAATATCAAGCATGAATCCAGTAATCTGATTTTGTGGTATTTCTGAATACTGAAGGTACACTGCTCAAAGTCCAGGAAGATGACGAGCAACTTGCTCGACAGCTGTGAACTAGATACACTACTACGTAGTAATTGCTACGTGGTAATCTTATTTTCGGGGCACAAGCTGTTTGAGTGCATAAGCCCTCTCTTTCGAGAACTGTGAATCTTTGGCAAGTCCTTGCATACTGGGTACTGAGCAAATTCCAAGCCATCAGCATGGACTAGGTTATCCTTGGTTTCAACAGACCTCCCTTGGCTCGGTAGGAGGCCCAACAAAGTGCAGCTTACATCTGGGCGAACAAGGTAATTTCAGCGCCAACCCTGAACTTGATGATGATATAAAGAATACCAGTTCCGTTATGGCGCTATAGTACAACATGCGCCATAACCACATGGTCATTACTCTTTTTGAAAGATGAGTAAGGACAGCTTTTAGAGGAAAGAGGGTGTTGTAGGTCACTGGAAAGCAGGAGAGCGCAGAAGATGCCTCAGTTAAGATGTGCATGATGAAATATTTCAAATACAAAGTTAAATGGCTTACAAGGAACAACGTATAGGACAGCTGAACATCAACTAGTCCATGAGAAGACCATAAAGGTGAAATTGAGAGAGCAATGAATTTCATGCCCGGTCCTCGGATTTTCCCCGGCATCTCATTAATACACACGCGCACTTAAACAGTTGAAGAAACGTTATGGGGGGGGGGTCTGATTTTCAGTGTGAACAGTATTGTCGCAGAATTGATTGAGCGGAAGAAGGGGATGTCTTGCCAATAAAGCAGCGAGCGCCGTCTATCAACGGCAAGGATTGACTGAAAGGTTTCGTGGTTGCTCAAAGGCATATTCCGCGATTAGCTCGGAAGGGGCTGAAAAATAGAATTGTCCGTTGTAGATAATTTACCCGTAAAGAAAAATGCAGTGCGAAATGAGGACAACACCCGAATCAGGGTTCCTTCCAAGCGGACGCCGAAAGTTGATCGGATTTCTGGATGACAGATCAGACACGAGCAGTGAGAGAACATCTAGAGGAGCGAGACGACAGACACCAACGCTGGGTGGAGTCAGTTGCGCTCTGCTGGAGGAGCTTGAGCATAGGGTTGCATTGCTGAAAGGATCCCATCGGGGGGTCGTAGCTGGTCGTGGGGGTGAGGGACGTACTTGGGCGCGATGAAATTTTTATCGGTTGTGGATCTTTCCAACAAAAGTTTAGGCTGTCCTAGTCATTTAAAAAATTTCGTTTTCAAAAGCAAGCCATTTGTGAAGTGCTTACACGGTTGGCACCTACGGAATCTGCAAAATAAGAGGTTCCCTCCTGTGCTTCAAATTATCTCGAAATACCAGTTGTTTAGGCAATGTATTTCTTATTACAATGGCTAGTGCAAGTCACATGCGGTAATGACGCGTGCACGATGATTATGAACGTCTTTGGCTACACAGCAATGGGGCAGGTGAGTGAGTGGTAGCGAGGCCTTTCAGGGCATCGAGCGCTTTTCAAATCGATTTTTGCATCATGTAGCAGTAGGAGTTCAAACAAATCAGAAAATTGTGGTTCGTATGTAGGTGTTTACCGCTTTTGGCACCTGGAACAGAGAAAAGACTCGACTGTAGTATATGTTGGAACTAAGATAAAATATGGTCTTTTATAAAGCACTACCTATGGATGGCAATACAAGAAAATGGGAGTATCTATAGGTGGGGCATTTATCTAGCTCTCACAGTGGTCGCATGTAAGGCTATATTCATGCATTGCGGTAGCGTCCACTAGCGACCATCAGCGTTTCAAGAGTCTGTGAGCGATAGGAAAGTATGAACATTGACCTAGCGCCTACCAGAGTCTACGAGAATCCACCAGCGTCGACAAGCGTCTCGAGCAGGGCACGCCATTGCGTTGTGATCATTTCCTGAAAAATACGACCCCCCTAATTCCATCTTCAAGTACGACCCCCCTCCCCATGTTACCTCTTCCCTAGATTTTTCCAACCTCCTACCACTTTGTCTATTTTTCCCAAAAAATTTCTGGTTTTTTTTACAAAATTTTGCTGTCGAGCGGGGGGGGGGGGCAGTCGCCAGTACAGTCCTCATCATTGCGGACCGGTGGGGCGTGCCAGCCACGTGCCAGCCAGAAGGAGTGCGCACACTGTTGAAGCCGTTCTCAGCCTTTTTGTTGCAAGCGCGTATCGAACAAGAAAGTGTTAGAAACGAAGTCATCCGACGAAGGAGATAATGCCGGAGTAATGCCCGCTTGGAAAAGACTGCGTGGAACGATTTTGCCAAACCGCACCAAAGCAGCCGCACTTCCACGTCCCACCGGTCCGCAATGATGAGGACTGTACCTACGTACGTCCCAAGCACGTCCAGACGTCCAGCACTCTGGCGCTGGTGTAGCATACTGACAATACCTACGAGGAAGGGGCGATGATAGGAGCTACCATCACCGCCCACAAGGACACCATGAATTTATAAATGGGAAAGGACTTACGACTTGACGGATGAAGTAAACAGAGATAAGTTACATTCGCGAGACTTTTCTGATTGCAGGAGCGCTACATTGCCTTGCAATTGGAAGCCGCTATCTAGGACAGTTCCAACCTTCCAACCACTTGCGTGGACAGCCCATTGCATTGGCGGCGTTGCAGATGGAATGCTAATTGGCGCCCAATGGCCTATTTCCTGATACCCTTTGCGAAAACATGTGTTTTAGAAACATACAAAAGTCTTCAAGCCAACTGGAAGTTTCATGGCCTCGGAGGGGGCTGATTTTTCGTGTCGGGGAGGATGGTACGAAAATTGAATCACAACGGGGAATTTTTTTCGAATAGCAGGCCTAGGAAGAAAATTAAAGCCCTGCTGGAAAGTAGAAATCTTCAAGCTTCCGGCACAGTTCTTTTTTTACGAAAGGCCGTGTATGAAGCTTGCCATGGAGGTCGCATAAGTCGTTAGCGACTCCGCGTTCGCAAAAATGATCATAGACGGATCACAAAGATGATCACAACGGGGAAAATCTCTGGAACCGGAACGTTTTTGAAATCGCTCAATTCAGGTGATTGGAACCAACCTAGCTCTACTCATTCCCGTTTACCCCTCTCCGATAGCTTCACTTTCAACGAAGTTATGGGTGTTCAAATGAGGGGTACTTTTCACGTGTTTGGCTTGAAATTGGCTCCAAACCGTAAAATAGGCGCGCATCAGCACCAATGCGCTTGTATGAGCGCGCTGACCGCGAACAGCCAAAATTCAAAAGTAATCCATAGTTCCGGTTCCCAGCTGGCTTGGTGAGTATTTATATTATTATTTATAGTATTATATATTATATATTATATATATTATTTATAGTATTTTGATTGCTTGTTTTTGTTAAGTTTGATTTTGTTTTGGGTTTTGATTTTGTTTGTGAGGAAATTGCTCAGTTGATTAAGTTTCTAAGGTTGTCATAAGGTAGCTTTTGCAGATGGATTTTTTCCTTTGTCTAGATTTGTGCGCGATTAGTGGATTGGGATTTATCTAGACCAGATGAGGAGGGTTGGTGGGCGAAGTGTCTTGAAGTTTTTTTGTGAGGAAGGAGGAAAAAGTTTCAGCAATATTTTTTTAGTTCTTGGCCTAGGAATAGTTCGATAGTGCCTAGTTCTATTTGTTGTCATCTACATCGTCCCTTTTGAGCTTCTTTTCACTTGTACCGTGTATCACCGCTCTCTCCACTTCAACAGATGGCCTTTGCGTCTTTACCGACCCCCCCCCGTCCATCGCGGCGCAAACTACGCGCCACGACCCCCCCCCCGTTTGAATGATCACAAAGATGGCGTGCCCTGGTCTCGAGCTACTAAGAATCCAGCGTATGGATATCGATCCAGCGTCTACCAGCGCTACCAGATTCCATCAACGTCCGTATGGTGTATCAGCTTCTCCGAGGGCACTAGCGAAAAGTAGAGATGACAATCTAGGGTAGTGCTAGCGTCCACCAGGCCTACCAGCAGAGAGTATGGGGAAGTAGTAGTAGTGTAGCAGACTTGCAATGGTTGCAACTGTTCTGAAACTGCAGTGTCCTCAAAAGGGCAGCTGCCGCCACGTTTGGATGAAGTACGTGAAGTGAGTTCAGTACAAGCTAGGATAATGCCTGCATCAAATGGAAATATATCCGATACACAAAGGACTGTTCACGACCTTTCCAGAGAAGAGACCCTAGGAAGAATTCCAACCTGCTCTTTGCCAGGCTTTTGTAGTTTAAGGAGCACACCTAGCCGTACCCTTAGGTAAGCTCGAGCTGGGCATCGGCGCTACATCTGTACATGTCGGCCAGTCTTGGCTAACTCGGTAGCTTGTAAAACAGTGTTTTGTACTTTTAAAAACAGGTCCAAAATAATAGGCAGGTGCCCGTAAATGGTAGAGCTGAAGACGTAATAAAAAGCATGTAAGAAATAAGCGGTTTGCAGTGGGGAGCTCGTAGGGCTTCTATTTCATCAATTACATTGGGATAGCAAAGCAGCGGAAACAACAGGCGGAGGGAATACATGCTACACGGACGCCATTTATAAGGTTCTCATTTGTTTGCCTAGTACAAATTGGTTCAATCGGATCTGAAAAAGTTGGCGAGCGTTTCTTGCCACACCTGTGCAGATGTGGCAGTGGCCATATGTGAATTCAGCTCAAGAGACGAGGATTTTGGATTCTGCATAACTTATGAAGTTTCTAATTTTATATTTCCCTTGTTTTTTCCTGGTGTTCAGTGTCATTTCAAGGCAAAGCCCGAGATGATATTGTGGAAAACGGCGTTCAATTACATACATATATACTCTCTAAGTTACTCTTTATATGGGAGAAATCAAAGGAAGTCATGGAGAACACTCTAAGAGAACACCTGTTGGCGCAGCCCGCTTTAGTCTGATGTTCCGCCACCACCTTGTTTATGGGAACTAAAATGCGGTAACCGTCTCTTGGCGTCAGAATCTGTCCTTGGAGCGTTCATATTTTGACACGGCCACAGCGAGAAAGCAACGCACGATACCAGTACGCGTTTTGCGAGCGTGCGCAGCGTCAGCGACTAGAGAGTATAGATTGTCGAATCTTGCGACGTGGCAGCGTCTACCAGCGACCAAGGCCAGCGTTCAAGCGGGTGGAAGAGCATGGAGCGGATAGGAAGGGAAGGCAGGCAGCTAGTAGAGTATGGGGCAGATAGCGATGCAGACTCGGTACAGTAGTACTGGCGTCTTGTGGCGATAGCGATAAGAGTGAGGCAGACAGCTGAATATGGGTATATCGGAGACGCTGCTTGTCGCTAAATCGCTATCTACACATTCCTTGTCACTGACATTGACGGACGTTCAAAACGCTGATAGTAGCTGGTAAATGCTGGTGGACGCTGTCGCAAAGCATGAGCGCAGCCTTACTACGGCAAGCAAACTCAGTATGCAAGCTTGTGTAGGATTTGGTATGAAAAGTTTGTCGCTTTTAGAGACGGAGCCTGGGCGATCTGGTCTCAAGAAAATTTTTTCTGTGCGCAAAAAGTTGTTTATCCGGTTGTTGACTTATCGCAGTTTTTCCCTTTCACACGTGCTATATGTCCCTCACGACCTGCATAATCCATAGTGAGCGGAGCAGCCAATGTTCCACTAAGTATGCCGATGCTATACAGGGGGGCCAAAAAAAAAGTCATTTTGCCTCCATGACTTTCAAGGCGCTATAAGTTACACTTTATTAAATTTTTATCGGACATTTTTACTACCATATTAAAGAGCACATTAAATACTATAATGATACTCCGCCACAGCCTTCTGGAGGAGCGCCATCGAGAGATTCGGCCGCGCGAAAGTGAGTGGGTACCGGAGTTGAGCGAGATCGTTGATTTCTCCGCCACCGTAGACCACCCTCTTGAACTCCGCCCGACTAGGTAACTGAGTGGATTCAGGTCAGGGGACATACTTCAATATTACATCTTCTTCAGGTACGAAACGCCCTTCCATTCGAAGTAGGCGGGAGTTTTTCCAAAACCCTTTGATTCCATGTGGTGGCACCCAAACCTGTAGCAGCACAAGGTCTCCAAGAAGGTACGGGCGACCACATGTAGGGAGGATATTCTTCTCGAGTTACTTGATGTAACCGCCAGCGCTCACCTTCAGTCGGGGTCTACAAAGAAAATATCGGTCTTCCCCTTTCCAGGTACCCCGGTCCATACCATCAACTCGCGCCTCGGCGAATACGGTGAAGATGATGTCCTAGACCGTAGCGACGTTGCCGTAGCTGGTCGATGTGGGAGGTCTTGCAGATCAAGAGTACTGACCTCCAGGTAGCTATCTGTGGATGACTTCATTCAAGAAGTTTCGCAGCTGTTTGGAGGCGACGTGAATTCCAAAGGTGTTCTCCAGTCAGGCCGCGACTGGAGATGACTTCATATTTTGGCGTACATGAAGGCGATTGGCGGCAGCGTGCTCCAGCTTATAGAGGAAGATCTTGGGTATCTTCCACTCTGGTACTCATATCCACTTCCCCTGTCTTGGGCCCTGCGAAAACATTGTTATATGTGGCCTCGCAAAATGACTTTTTTTGGCCCCCCCCTGTATATAACTACTATTCACAATAGTCGAAACTAGTATTGGTTAGTGGCGAACCCGCCCTCCATATACCCGCTCGACGGTAGTGTGCTGGTGAAAAATTGAAAAAAATTATAGGGAGCGTGGGGACTGCCAGAAGGGAATGGGGGCTTGCATGAGTGTTTCCCGAAGATCACTCAAAAATCATCAAAAAATTCCCGGATTTTGAAGTAATGACAATTGAGTAGTGCTTTCGTACTGCCAACTATAGCACGTATACTTTGTTTTTTTTCAGCTATTTGTACTTCTGATTCTGTTACTGATGTCAATAATCTGTGTTGTCATATTGATAGCTTATGGTCTCAACATTCATAGGACTGCCTATGCAAATGCGATATTGGGCGTGGTTCGTTTGCAAGCTTATTTGACTATGCCTCTAAATAATGACTGGACCTCATAAACAATATGGCGTCGGAAATAAACAGCTCTTTTTGCAGGAACGCCTTTATGCAGCCCTTAGGAATCGTTCTATTCATCATCGCTGGGATATTAGGAACATGGATGGCCGTTCTCACCAACCAGGAAGACGTAAGCGATTGACATCAACTGTAAAACAAACGTTTCTAAAGTAAAATAGCAACAAGTTTTGTTCAATCCAACAGAATTACAAGTTTAGGGAAACAGAGCGATACAGTGCTTTAGAGTTACGGTCCGCGATCAGGTACTGAAGTTCAAAATGTGTCGTCGGGAGGGTAGTGTGGTCGGCGACGAACAACCTTGTACCGGTTTCGCAGCAAAAAACTGTAGTGAATGGGGCTAAACGCAATGTAGCTTCAGTGACGCCTCCTTTTCTTCAGTGACTCCGCCTCCAGACTCCGCCTTCAAGGCCGCCTTTCAGTGAAAAACGAAGCTGCAGGACGAAAAGCATGAAAATCGTCACTTGCGGTCGTAGAGTTCTTATCGGGGAATCAGCTGTGCGGATGAGGGCGTGGTTTGAAGAAGGAGTCATTGGGCAAGTACAAACTGGGATCGGAATGCGGTTCTATTTAGAGCAGTTGACATGATTTTTCTGCTTTTTTCACTACTGAGTTACTCAGAACCTTGTCGTCTACATGCAGACCCCTCCCCCAATCCACTGTCTGTGATGGCAAGCCATCACAAAACTTTGCCTTTAGGGGTAGACTTCGCGATGAGCCAGTGAGAAATTTGTAGGTGGCGTGGTTGAGAAGCAGATTTCTATGCGCTAATTAACCAAAAAAGGAAGAAACCGTCGAGAAAGCCTCAAATAAGGCCCCACTTGCGCCAAGCAAAAGGCAAACAATCAATGTGGATTTCGGGAGAGCGCCCAACAAAAATAGCAGGAGAACATACGAATGAGGGGTTACAAGGCTCTTGTCAGCCTGATATACTCTCGCTGCGAGGGTCCGGAGGTATTTTCTCATGGCATCTACTAGCCAGTAGTTGAAGGGAGAAGGCAAAGGAGGAGGGAAGAGAGAAGGTAGGAAGGAAAGGAAGGAAGGAGGAAAAAAGGGAAAAAAACGAGGCTCCGCGGTTGACCAGTATCATATGACGGCAAATGAGGAGAGCGTAAATAAGGCATCTATAAAATTGGGCGGAGTCACTTGGGCAACCTTGCGCCTTACCGCCGCTACCTTGCCACTTTCTGACGTGAAACTTATACAGGGTTGTTAGCTGCAGCTCGCACTACCTGCCCAGACAAAGTGTTTAGCTAATTATAAGCGATCGTGGACCCTGTCTTCAGAGCACGCATAAAACTGAATGCGTAGGAGCAGCGAGTGCCAATGCTTTCGCTTAGGCGATCCCTAACCAGGTGGAAAGCGGAATGAGGGTTACACTCGTCCTGGTCTCGCCCCAGAACTTCCTACTATATCCAGTTCCATCTATCTACTTTTAAGGCAGACTCTATGCTCGACTCTGTAGATCCTCTTCCTTGTCATGTGCGAGGTGAATAAGTTCGTAACTGCCTTAGCGTGATACTTTTTCCGCTCAAAGTCACGAGAAGACGACTAGAGGATGGCGGTGCTGGTGCCACTCCCAACTTCGTCCACGCTCCTGCGCGGCCATCACACGACCGACCATGGCCAGAAGCACTATTTCTCTGCGCCCTTCCGATTTCCTGGTTCTTCCCTACCTATAACTGCATCGTCCCTACGAAATAAGGGTATCGACACAAGTGCTGCACCTTGAGGATAGCGTGGGCGAATTAGGGAGACGGGACCAAGTGTTACTACCTCCCAGCCTCATTCCCGTGCACTTTTGAGGGAAAAGCGGCATGCCAATGCAGCTGTTGACGGATTTCTCGCAGACAGCAAGGAACTGCGTCCATGGGGACGAGTATTCATTTTGTGCTAAGAGGGACAGCGCTAGCGCAAAATAATCTCTCGAAAAATAAAACCGTCTCCATGTTGGATAAAAAACTTCAAAGCTCGAGTATTCTCGTGAAATGTCGTTGAAGCAAGCATATACACTCGAAATCCCTGAGATCGGGTAGGCGGAGCATTCGAACACTGTAAAGAACTGGTTACTAGTGGAATATTCCAGTCTGGGACAACTGTCATCTTTGTTGGACAGAGACACGACAACGATTGTGTCGAGATGAAAATATCGCATCAGAAGCGTAGACGCCTTAAGGATAAGTTGAAACATGCGGCCACGCCTACCCGATCTCAGGGATCTCGAGTGTGGATAATGACGAAATATCCTAGACATGATTGAGGCAGCGAACCGCATAGCATCCAGGGACTGTGACGTGAAGATCTGTGGGGACATGCTTACTTGTACATG